CGGGCGCGGGCGGCGAGGCCACGGCGGGTGGAGGGCGAGGGCCGGTCCCCGCGGGCGTTTGCGCGCGCCCTCCCCGCCCCGGGGTCGCCGAGTGGGCGCGCACCGGCCGGAGCTGGATCCGGGCGGCGCGGGGGCGAGAGGCGCCGAGGCGGCGCGGGCTTTTCCCGGGGCTGGTGTGCGCCGCGGGGCCTTTACCGGGGCGGGAACGGCGGCCGCCTGCGCGCACCAAGCCGACTCCGGGGGCGGGTAGGGATGGCAGCCCGGGTGAGACGCCAGGGTCCTCGGCGGCCGCTCCCTCCCTTCCCTTGGGGGCCGGGGGTCAGTAGGAGGGATGCCCCGGGGTCCGGTCGCCGCTGCGCGGGGCAGGTGGAGAGGGAGGGATTGTAGATGTCAGGAGCGCGCGTCTGCGAGAAAAAGGAATAGCTGCCGGAGCTGACACCTTCTGTCCTCCGCCACCTCCGCCCCCGCACTCTCCTCCCCGGCAGCCGAGCCGAGCCGCGCTGCGGGCGGCGGCGGCTCCTCTGTCCTCAGCTCACCTCCCCGGCGGGCTCGGCTGCTGCCCGCCTGGTCCACGCCTCCGCTTCTCTCCTCCCTTCCTCCCCTCCCGCCTCCTGGGCCCTAGCAACTTTCCCGAGTGCCCAGCTGGGGGCGGGGGGGAGGCGGCCCCCCGGGGCCAGGGTGTCGCGCACAGGGAGGTCGCCCGCGGGAGGTGGCGGGCGCTGTCCCCCGCCGCCCGGGTCCCACGGCTGCGCAGGGCGCTCCCGCAGCCGCCGGCTCCGAGTGGGCTTGGCCGGCGAGGGAGGGCGGCCGGGGCAGGCATCTGCTGCGGGCTGGAGCGCGGGGCCCGGGCCAGCCTAGCCAGAGCCCTGCCAGCCGCCGTGAGTCATTTCCTTGGAATCCTACCTTTGGTGTTTATTTCCCTTAGAAGGAAACTTGTTTGGAAAAAAAAAAAAAAAAAAAGACGAAGAAGAAAAGAAAGAAACAGTAATAATAGCTCTTATTCTGAAGGAGAGGCGCACAGCTCCGGCACTGTGGAAAGACAACTTGCCTTTGTTCCCAGACACTTGGGGTGTTTACTTTCTCCTGCGGCCGGCGGCCGGCAGGGCTCCGCTCGCTACCCTGGAAGGGGCTCAGGGGCCGTGGCACCGACCCCTGAGGGTGTGTCAGTGCCGGAGCCCGGACCCGGTGCCTGCAGGGGGTCGGTTCTTCAAACCTCACGACCCCTGTCTTGGGCCTGGGATGCGGAGATCTGGCGCCAGGGCTCGGACACCCGGACACCCCATCTTCTCCTTCAGGGCCAGCACCCGCCTTTCTAGCCCCAGGACCTGCCCTAAAGCTCCGGGCTTCTGGAAGCTACAGCTGAGAAATGCACTTTCCAGGGTAGACAGGTGTACTGCAGGGACTGACAGAAAAGCGACATCTATTTAGAAGGGTTGAAGGATTTCCTTCCACCAATTCAGCCCCTTCCATCACCAGCAGCAGCAGTAGCTGGAGGTGCTGTTGGGATCTTGTTAAGCACAACTTCGAGGTCAGGCGCTTGATTCCACCTGGGCAGCACCAAAGGTGCATTGAAAACATGAGCCCTTTACTTCTCTGCGTTTCACTGTGGGAATCCGATCTCTAACTGCTATAATGCTCTTAATGTTCTCTAATTTCCAATGAGAGATGGGGGGAGGGGTGGGCAAAGAATGACCAGGAACCCGTTAGATTCAAGGGGCCGCTGAATCTTAGGTAGCCGGATCTGTGTGCCAGCCACTCATATTAGCATTAGAATGACTTTCAGGAAAGAACAAGCCTAACTCATCTGGAAAAACCAAATTGTGTAGCAATGCCTGGTAACTTTACGATGAACGTTTGCTGGAAAAGCATGACATTTCAGCCCTCAGCCTTCTGGGAATGCTTGAGGTGTCATTTCATTTCATCCAGTTGGGTGACAAAACAGATATGCAGGAGGAGCCTGGGGATAAGAGGTTAGGAGCTTTTTATTTTTAAATTTTTAAAACCCATATATAGACCAGACACACTTTAACCGCCTACTTTTGAAACCACTCACTTCTGATGTTTAAAAAAACACACACACAAATTTTACCATAAATGTACATCTTTGTGGTTATATCTAATATTAACAGCATATGAATTTGTGGATTTAAACTTCTGAACTCAGTATCAGAATCATAGTGTAAGTCTTATCCTATAGAGAATAATGACAGTTTGAATCTGTACATATAATACAAATAAAGAGTTATGTGAAACATTGGTGCATAGCACCACCCAGTCCTAATGCTTCATGAATGTAGAACTTGCCTTCTTAATTTCTTAACATCCCTTCATAAATTCTAAATAGACTAGGAAGAATTCACTGCAAAATCTCTTGTCTGCTCCCAAATATATCCGAAGTCATTCATACTTTATTCAGACTTAGAAATACCATTTGTGGCACTCAGCTTCTCCCGCTTTGGATTTTGTGTGTAAAAGTTTCCAGTTCAAAAAAAGAAAAACTTAAGAGAAATCAGATATCATAATGGGGGGAAAAAAGCCAAGATAAAAGTCCTAAGCTGTGTTTCAAGTTCAGATGCATCATGATAGGATTTCATATGCTGGAATCAACACACTAACAAACAGAAACACTGAAATCCTTAACCCAAACAGCCACAAGGATCAGTCATTAAAATGGAAACAAACTCTTAGGAACATAAAATAGCACAGGACCATATAATGTCCTATTAAACAAAGGTAATTGCTTTAGGGGGCCTACAAATGCTTCATGTTCTTAAGAGGCGTGGATTTGTCAACCTCCTCTGGTTTTATGCTATAAAAGTTCAATATAGTGGCACCTGGGTGGCTCAGTCAGTTGGGCATCTGCCTTGGGCTCAGGATCCAGTCCCACATCAATCTCCCTGCTCAGCAGGGAGTCTGCCTCCCCACCACCACCGCTCATGCCTTCTCTCTCTCTCTCAAATAAATAAATCTTAAAAAAAAAATTTTTTTCAATATACACAAAAAGCTTGGGTCTTATTCCCAGAATCCAGCACAAAAGTGAGTGTGAATTTCAAGCTGGAAAATACTATTGCAGTTAGTGAGAGAGGGCTACTGAGAGATAGCTATAATTCATATGCTCCTGGCAGTAGCACTTACTGGTACAAATGCCTTTTATAATAGGTTAAGATCTTAGACCATTTATGAGAGTCTCCCAGGGAATAAATTATCATGAGCTTTGATACCTTGTTTGGATGCCGAGTTTGAGGGGTGATTGACAGAATAGCTTGGTTTATCAAATCAATGTAGTGTCAATTTTTTTGATGAATCAAGAACAAAATAAATGGCATGTCCCACCATTTGCTTCTAGAGAATAATCGAACCTCTCTCTCTTTTTTGCCTTGTAATAAGATTTTACTTACAGCAAGTCCTTGGCTGCTCCCTCTTTGGAGGGCATTTTAGAAGAGAAGGAGTATGTGGTTTAGCCTCCCAAATCGCTGGGTCCTCATTCCAGCCACTGACCCCGACACTTCCCCTACTTCGTCCTTCAGTGAGGTTGGGACAGAATTTAGGATGTCAAGGAGAAGCCTGGGTATAGAGTCCTTGCTGCCAAGAGCTGCTGTTAGCCAAAAAGACCTCGTCACTTCTGTGAAGCTATTTCCCCTTCCCCTGGTTTTCCTTCCTTTCCCTGGAAGTGGACCCTCATTAGAACACGTAGGTAATCCTAGCCTTCTGCTGGACAGCAGGGGACTCACCCTTTTCCAAAAATGTTAGGAGCTGTGTCATTTGGAGAAGAAAGCATGAATACACCCTTAGCGTCTATTTGAAAGATAATCTATCTTCAGAGAGCAAGCCTGACATCAGTCTTTGTGACAGTTCTTTAAATGGCAGAGTGGGATAGGAGAGGTTCCGGTCTTGCAAAAGAACTCGCAGTTAATAAGGCGCCCAGGCTTCTCTGCCGTCACCACTGATCTCTGGCCGGAGTATCAAACTCTTTCCCCTTGAACTCACCCTTGACCCTGCCTTGAATCTTAGTTGGGGCCAAGTGAAGCCCCAGATCCCCGCTGGAAGTGGGCCACAGCACCTGAGCCCAGCAGGAGCCCAGCAGGCATCATGGAGCAAAGAGGCTCCCAGGCTCCCAGGCTCCCAGGCTTCTCGCAGGCCCCTGGGGGAAGGGGCGTGAACCGGAGAAGAGGGCCGCAGCATGGTGCCCCTTGGAAAGTTGCTGCCTTGTGTCTGGGCCTGGCGGAGGAAAGAGTTGCTGGCTGCCTCTGGCCCTGAAGCCCTGGCTCCTGTTTAATATTCTGCCTGCTCCGTGGATGTTGTGCTTGGCTCCTGTGGGGCTACAACTCCCGGCTTGAAACTGGAGCCAATTTTCTGTCTTCATCTTACAGTGTTTTGACTGGAGGCAGATCCAGTTCAGGCCGATCAGGGCTGGTGGAAACAACTACCAAGTGTGTCTCTGCTTCATCTTGGGAGAAGAAAGTGGAGGGAGCCCCAGACTGGTGTAGAGGATCTGGCCCTGTGGAAAGGAGAGGAGGGGGCAGCCGCCCTGCCCCAACCGACCCAGAGCCTCAGTAGGGATGACGGTGGAGATTTTGGCCTCTACACCCTTTTTGACTGATTAGCGGATTTCATCAAAGGAGACTCTCGGGATTGACTAGAAAATTGATTTTGCCTTATTAATAGAAAGGAGGTGCAAGGGTTTGGGACTTGCCTCTTAGCGGTACATTTTCTGCCGTAAGGTCAGGGGGAAAATATGTTCGGGAGGCAAAGCAGCTGTCTCAAATGGGGCTTAGGGGAATCTGAGAACAATAAGAAATGGGATTTTAAAGATCCGCCCATGAAATGCAGATTGCTGAACACAGAGGCTGAGCTAATAGCAGTGAGAGAGTTTGCTGAGGTTTTCTTCGAAAAAATAATAAAATGTTTTCAGGGTGAAGGGGACGACTGAGAAGTAGAAGTTTCCCAAAGCAAAGTAATGAACATGCCAAGGCCATCCCCGGCATGATTAGGGCTATTTTCTTTCTTTCTTTCTTTTGTCTTTAGATCTGAGGCGGTCAGAGATGACTCTGGTTCTGTCCATGAATAGATTCTGCGAGCCCATTGTCTCGGAAGGAGCTGCTGAAATTGCTGGGTACCAGACACTATGGGAGGCTGACAGCTACGGAGGCCCGAGTCCCCCTGGGCCAGCACAGGCTCCTCCGCAGGGAGACCGGGGAGCCGGTCCGCCACTGGCAGGTACTGTCCTTGACCTCCCCCCACCAACCCTGCCCTCTACAGCCAGACTAGTGAGAGGGACTGGTGGTCTCCTGTCTCCCGGCTCCCTTCTGAGCCCAGAGAGAGCTGCTAGTCCAGGGACTAACAGGCTGTCTGTGCCCCTCTCAACTGAGTCCTGGGCTCCAGAAGAGGATCAGAGGGGATACTGAAATTGCATTCAAATCTGCATCTACACGTGCTGATGCTTCGTGTGTAAGTCGTGCCACCTATATTTTTTAAAGAACCAAACCAGATTTTGAGACCGTGAGTTTGGGTTTTGGTTTTTCACCCTGCGGAACTGCATGGTTCTCTTCAGAGGTACACAAGCCCAGGTGAGCTTTGGACAATGAAATCTTTATCCCCTGAGACGTAAAGGAATCTGCACTTTGGGCCAGAAGCTATGTGTCTTCTCTTTTTACTAACCACACAACTGGCTTTCGTATTCAGGGGGAAATTTTTTTAGATACAGGAGTATGTTCTTCCTAATTCTTTATTCTTATAGTCTAAGATAAGTTCCTTGGATTTTTGTGTGGTATGCTTTAAAAAAAAAAACAAAACCTAAAATGTAAACTAAGTACTTCTTGAAGTTCATTTGGGATTAAAAGTTCTGTTCGTTCAAAATTAGACCCTCCTTTTATTCGTGGTTGACATATTACATTTTTGAGAGAGAATAAAGGACTTTGGTTAGCCCATATTTTAGTCTTAAGCTAAAATTTTTTAATCTCATATTTTGAAAGAAGAAATATTATAACTCCAATGTTCAGATAGTCGTTTGCTTCCTTACCTACAGCCAATAACATTTTAAAATTATTTGGTTATTCGTGCTTACGGTTAAAGATGTATATGTTTGAGCAGTGGTGCCCTATTATCATGGATTTAATTAAGCAATTTGAATAAATACTGTCCTCCCCTTTATGAATTTTGCTGTTTGTGCATAGAATTAAGATTCCGAGTATTTTGTAGATGCTGACATAGGTCATTTTCCTTTATGATTACCTAGAAATCCTTGCCTAGCCTGGGTCACAGAATTCTGTATGATAGCAAATATTAAGACGAATGTTTATTTTTAATCACCACATGTACAGCCAAATACATAGCCAACTTATCTTCTGTAAGGAAAATATTTTGTTTGGAGAACCTCTGGCAAACCGCATGTCATTTGTCGTATCTGATTTATTACCACAGGATCACATTACAGGGGAATTTCAAATCCTATAACAACATCCAAGATCACATACTTTAAGAGGAAGTATGTGGAAGAAGAGGATTTTCACCCACCACTCAGCAGCTGTAGCCATAAAGTATGTTTTTTTAATAGTCATTATTTTTATTAAGAATTTAAGATACTTAGTAACAGTTGCTTGATCCATTTCCAGCAATTAAATTGTTCCACCCAAGCAATGAAAATGAGCCACTTCTCAGCAGAGCCGTATTAATCGTTGTCATTTTTTGGGTCCTCTGTTATTTTCACAAGTAGTGGAAGAAAGAGCCAGCAGGAGCTCCTCTGCCCAGAAATAACAAAATTATATAATCCAAGGAACATCTTTTTTACAAATGTCTTGATTGTTCTCAAGTTGCGTTAGTGGTTATGAGCCATCCATGTTTTCACATGTGTGCAGAAACGCATGTCTTTCCTGACATCTCCCCTCTCTCCATGCTCTAGGTCCCATGGGCAGAGCCCCTTCTGTGTGTGCCCACCTGGGAGCAGTTTCCTGGGGCTTCTCTTGACCCATTAGAGGTGGACTCACTATCGCTTGAGTGTGTGCTTGCAAGTAGAAACTCACACTTCATTGTATACTCCTTACGTAGGCGTAATTCATTCCCTGGGAAAGATCACAGCTGACTCTTTTGCATGCATAAGAAGAAAATAATGGGATCCAGGAAGTGCCTAGAAATAAGGAACTGGCCACCTAAACTTTTCAAATACCAGTTCTTTTTCCTTATGGTTCTCTTCCTTTAAAAAAAAACTATCTACAGATGTAATCAAGGAGGGTATAACCCAGACCATAGTTTTCTGAGAGGCGGAGAGGATTTTTAATTTTTCAATTCATCTTCCTCTGTGTCTCCTCTTACCCCCTCTCCTCACTGCCTCACGAGCATGTCCTTCAGGTGTTGCCTTGACCTTGCTCATAAAGGCACCGGCATGGGTTGGTGTATGCTGGGCTTTTCTCTGACTGTATACTTCCTGCCTTTGGTTAACCCGGGCAGGCTTTGTTTGCAGTTCCTCAGGTCATGCTACCAGGTGGCTTTTTTTTTTTTTTTTTTTTTTTTTTATTTTTTTTGGGAAAGTTGGGTCCCAGGACAAGGGGGTTTTTTTTTTTTTTTTTTTTTTTTTAAATATGACCTGGAAAAGCTGGTCACCAGGACATAAGCAGTTTATTTCCTCTTTCATTTCTGTGTTATGGTTGTGACTCTTTCCCAGTGGCTGCTGGATTTGTACCAGGCATCACCCAGTGATAGTATCATAGTGCTCAGAAGTGAGTCTTCTCATTTCCTCCCTTCATCTCTCCTCCTGCCTGGCCCCAGAAGGAGGCTTGCTTTGGCCCTTCTACTGACTGATCATTTCAGGGGCTGAGCCTCAATTATCGCTGTCCCTTAATCAAGTAAGGATAATTGCAAGTGTGAAAGCCAGAGGGACAGCGCTGAATGCAGCTCTTGTGCTCTTGGCCAGGGTTTGAAGTAGACTTATGACCTGCATTTTGACATCTTTCAAGAGACACCGACATATAATACATGAGTGTATGTGTGTGCACATGCATGGGTTTGTATACACATACAGAAAAGCCCAAGTATCCTAAGAGTACAGCTTGCTGGATTTCACAGCGGAAACATATCTATGTAACTAGCATCCAGATCAAGAAACAACATAACCAGCAACTGAGAACCCCTCCTTGCACCCCTCATTACTATGTCCCTTCCATCCGGAGAAGCCGCTCCCCTGACTTCTAGTAGGGCAGATGAGTTGTGTGTTTTGGCATCTCCCTTGGCCATAGAAACACGAACAGCCTCACCTGTCCCTGTTGAGGTCTGCTGGGGGACCGGATTCCCAGGTGCTTGCCTGCACCTTTGAGGCAGGAAGCCGGGGAGGGTCATTAGCAACACCGGGGACAGCATCCCTAAGTGAACCTGGGAGGAACAGGACCACAGCATGCCCAGATCCAGAGAATGCCCAGAAAGAAATCGACTGCAATGGCATGCTTACACAGCCCACGTCCTCTAAGTTTTCTCTTCCGTCTTTGGTTTTTAGACCATCTCGATTTTTGAGGAACGAGCCCACATCCTGTATATGTCATTAGAAAAGCTCAAGTTTATCGATGATCCTGAAGTGTACCTCCGAAGGTCCGTCCTTATCAACAACTTGATGAAACGGATCCACGGCGAGATTATCATGCAGAATAACTGGTGCTTTCCTGCCTGCTCTTTCAACGGCCCCTCTGCCCAAGAGTGGTTTCTGGCTCAAGACTGTCCTTACCGAAAACGACCGCGGATGGCCAAAGAGGAGTGTGAAAAGTTTCACGCCTGCTGCTTTTACCAGGAATGTGGTGGTCACTACCTAAACCTGCCCCTTTCTGTCCATGCTAGTGTCGGAAGTGCCTCCACCACTGCCCCCTCTTCCTCCTCGTCTTCCTCTTCCCCTCCCCCTCTGCCTTTACCGAGTTGTTCCCACCAGGTGGATTTCAGTGTAGGCTGTGCATCTGCTTACAAGGGTGACGGTCAGGTACCCGCCAGCGAAATCTTTGTTACTAATGTCAGGTCACTAGGTGTTCAGGAAAAGGCCACATTAAGTGAGGAGAAGGCAAATAACGACACCAACAGGGATGGTGGCCCATTAAGCCATGAACCTGTGGGAAACGACCTTGCTTTTGAGTGCAAAGGCCAATTTTACGATTATTTTGAGACTGGATATAATGACAAAAACAATGTGAGTGAGTCTTGGAAAAAGTCCTTAAGGAAAAAGGAGCCTTCACCAAGTAACAAACCGTGCTGTGGCAAAGGGAGCAAACTATGAGCCATCTTTCCACCGAACCTCTGAAGCATGCACAGCATGACCAATTAGCTCTCATAAATTTTATTTTGAATGGATTTTATAGTTTTGTACAACTGATAAAATTATGCCATGAACACGCCGTGTCGTTTTAATGCCTGGAGAGCAGATTGCGTAAAACCTCTGTAGAGTAGGCATCAGCGAGCTACTTCTCAATGTGGTGATGTTACCAAGAACACAGTTGACTCGATGCTTAAAAGTATACCTTAGTTTTCTCACAGAAAAGGTCCAGTAGATTAGACTGGGGGACAGTGTGCCCTTGTGACCTTTCCATGACCCCCCCCCAAGGAGCCTGTCACTAGCTAAGAAACCGCAACATGTTTGCCAATCGATTAGGTAGTTGTTTGGTCAGCAAATCAACATAACCAGCAAAGGATGTCTGTTGCTTCTATGTGATACAGTATTTTTTTTCTGAATGAAAGACTGAAGACAGGGAGCTAGATGAAGTGGCTTCACCGTGCCATTAAGGACTTGTCTTTAACAGTCTTGCATGACAGACGAAAATAGGATGTAACATAATGAAACACCTGTCTAGGGGTGGCAATCAACAATATGTGGAGAAGGGTAATCCCTGCGAGTTCCTGGCTTGCCTGCGATGCGTGATCAGGCAGTTAGAGAGGTGTTATACAGGGCGATTTTTGGTGCCTTACTTTATCTTAATTTTTGCCAATGTGAAAATTAAGGATAAATCAGAGTTACAGCAGGGATTTAACAAACAGGAAAAAAATACACAGGGTGGATCAATATTGTTTGGAAACCGTTAACTTCGAAACTATTGTGTTTAACTTTTGATTCAACATCTCTATTCTTCCTTTGTTTTTTGATGCCCAATTGCTTTTGGATTTGGCATTTTTAGAAAGGGATGGGGGAAACAATAGAGCTGTTAGAAACCAGCACTAAGCTGCTTGAGCTTTTCTATGGCAACGGGTCTGTTGCTGGGGTTTGGGTTTTTGGGTTTGGGGTTGTTTTGTTTTGTTTTGTTTCCTTGTCCAATGAAGTTCATGACCCGGTGGCATGCATTATATTTTAATCTGTTTTGCATCATTTCACTCGTTTAGATTATAAAAGCATGTGGTTTTTTATATATGACTTTTGCTGTTGATTAAGAAGCACAATGTTAATAAATGATGTGGTGATCAATAAGGTTTTATCTTAAAGAATGTAAAGACTTTAGTTTTCGGAAAGTTATTTTGGAGAAATGGGACTCAGTTGGCAGTAGCTACCATGTATTCGGGCCACCGTTTTCTCAATGATTTCCTTAATTTGTACATTTGCAAGAGTGTTCAGAGTGCCCCTCTGACCATCCGTCCTCCTGCTCCAGCCAACTCCTCCTGCTAAACTGTATTCCAGTTTCCAAGATTGGAATTGGAATTGACTTGGGCCTCCTTAAACAGTACTTCACAGGAACCAAATGCCAAATGGAGGAAATAAGTAAGTCCTCCCAGTTTCTCCAAGATAAAGCTTTTTTATTATTGCTATTAATATTAAATATAGGTCTCATTCATACAGTGTATGAGTAGGATCATCATTTGGACAATGTCCACAAGGACCAATTTTTAAAACTTGTTCTTGTGTTATGGCTAATAGTCTAGTAACGTTTTGTCCTTTATTTTCAATATTTGATAAACATTTGATGTTGAAAACTTAGATGATAGATGCTTGTATATGAATGTGTTGTAATAAAGTGAGGTTTTCTTGATATATATTTATTAAAATGATCAAAATGCATTAAGATTTCCTTATTTTAATGATCATCGGCAATGTCTGTTTTCCGTTGCTCTTTCTCCTTTACAAAACTCAAGATGTCTAGTGGGCAGTGGCCACACGGGAGTATTCAAAATGAAAGACTTCTTTTAAGAGGTCAACCTGACAGGTGTTTTAGAATGGTCCTAGTTTGTGAGTTAGATTTCTGTGGATTAAGAGGCCAATGTTAATAAATGATGTGGTTGGTCATCAAGAAGGTTTTATCTTTAAGAATCTAAAGATTTTTTCATTTTTGCAAAGTTTCTGACAAAAAAAAAAATAGTAACACAAGTACTGAAGGAATCCTAGCTGATCGCTTTAAGGAATGTCAAATTGTCAAAAAGATGACCCATATGTCAGCAGTCAAAATCGCAATAGATTACTGCTGGTATTCCATACCACTCTGTTTTAAGGTTGCTAGTAGAGGCTAACATTTCATTTGATAAAGGGAGAAAGCTTGTTGGGAGCTTAATTGTCATGTGTAACATTCTTACTATGAATGTAATAAATCCAAGAGATTTACATATGAAAGAAATGACATCCCTTTTGCTCTTTAGAAAGCCTCCCTCCCCCACATTATCAGATAATGTTCCTCTTGATGGTCAAAGCTGTAAAGTGACAGTTGATGATTTTCCAGAGCCCTCACCTGAGCTGCGGTCTCAGGCATCTACAGCAGAACCCACTGGAGCTTCTCTGCTGGATGATTAGGGGCCTTTGAATTCAGCAGCATTAAAATTTGTAATTTTTAGTCATCAAGCTTTTGTCCCTAAGACATTTCTAGCATACCAAAAGACATGCCTCCACCCCTTCCCTGAAAAACCCCTAAACACCCATTCAAATAAGAATGTTCCTTTGGTTGGTATGAGAGCATTAGGGCCTCTTAGGGGCCTGTATCACCATTTCTATTCAGAAGATACTCAGTTCAATCTTTCCAGGTGCCCAAGACATAGATAATAATTTACTGACTGGGTTCTAGAGTTCTGTCTCAGAGACTGGTAAAGCTAAGACACTCTGCCCCCCAGACTCTGTCTACCCACTGGAAGTAGCACCCTTTCTCATGACTGGGCTCTGCTTTAAGGAGAACCTGATAGGGCAGATTCTAGACTTTTAAGAGTTAAATGAGGCGAAATCTTCACTTAAAATGGCCCAGCTCCCCCCAAGAATGCCTTTAATTGCTACTCCCTGAGGCATCTAGGTGCACCTCGTTAACCAAATCATTAACCTTTGCCTCTGGTCCTTCCTCTCTTACAGTGACGATTGTAGAGGACGGTCTAGCAGAGTCACTTCAAAAGAGCACAGATATCAACCGTGCTTTGCCTCCAACTCTTAAAATCCTATGAATCTGTCCTTCACCTTGAAGGGGTCCCAAGGACAGGATTTCAGCGGCCAGGACTTAGGAGGATGGTAGAAAAACTCAAAGCCAGCAGAAGTGGCTATCTCACTACCAGTGACTAAGTAGGTTAAGGCATCTTCAGCATGGTCTTTTAAGACAATAGAGATTCAGAACATTTTGTTTCATAAGGGCAGAAGCAAGTGAATGAACCTTTATTTTAAGAGATCGTAGTTAACTCCATCAAAGCAGGGCTACCCAGCCCTCCAGTCATGAACTTGTATTACAGCTCCACTTAATGACTTCCTTTTGGTGTGTCTAGAGAAGAGCTGAGAAAAACTTGGAGCAGACATGGGCGTTAAGAGTTGTCAACTTAACAATAAATATCAGACAAGGATATAAGGATTCCCATGTAGCGTAGCTAGGCTTTTCTATTCCTCAAACAAGTTGTGAGCAGAAAATGTTTTTGAAAATAATTAGCTGTTCCAATCCATTTTAATGACAGTCCCTTAAATTTGAAGCTATTTCATTCGTGGTTAAAGTTATCCCTGCCTATTTTGCTAGGCCGTTTCCAAAACGAGGGTGCAGCAGGCCCTGAACAATGATGGTTTAAACAAGATGCAGAACTGCCCACGAAGAGAGGAAGACATCGGTATTTCAGTGATGAGAGACAATGTACGGTTTCTAGTAATTCATGTTAAGATCGCTGTGCTTTGATTGCGGCTTAATCTGAAATGCATTCAGGATCTTTTAAGTCACTTCTCAAGGCCTCCATTGCTTCCCTACACAGTTACAGTGTGTAAGCGAGGTCGATGATGTGCACACGGCTATCACAGCTCCATTGGTTGTGAGAGCTACATGACCGAGGGTGAAACAGTTACTACTTTAGAGATTGTTTCCAGCCCTGCGTACATGCCGTATTTCAACTGGGAGAATTCACTCAGGAAAAGCACTTGAAAAGATGTAAGTTATGAACACTTGAATCTCGCATCCTGCCAATAAAGTGCATCAGCAAGTGAGTTTAATAAAACATGCTGTTTAAAATAGTCTGTAATTTCCTGTTTCTGCGTTTCCCTCCAGTATCTGTGACAGGCTGAAGAACCATGACTACACGAAGGGCATTTATACAAGCTTGCCTGGTGGAGTTTGCACACCATTGCTATGAGCTTCAGCTTCTTTGGTAAACAATTCTCTGGTGGGCTTTCTATGGTGGTTGTTTTTTTCCTTGGTGTTGGTCCAATTTGTTAATTTTGAAAATGCAAACTACTTATTCATAGCCTGGAAACACCTGCTTTTGACCGCGGGGAAACTGATAGAACGTATGGAGACGCATTAGTCATTCGTTGCTCATGAAGTACCCACGTGTTTCTCAACCCCATTTTTATAATCATTCCTTTGATTTAAAATTATAAAATCTTATAAAATGCCATATCTGGGGGATAGAACACACATAGAAAACTTGCAAGGACGTAAGTTGTGATCCCTCTTCCTGCCAAGATCTCAAGACAGTGGACAAATAGTGAAATTTGGGAGAGACCCAATCTGCCCCACGACCTGTCCTGCTCAGCTTGGCGTGGCTTTCAACAGGGATTGCCTTCATCCAGGTCATTCCATGGCAGCATCTGGATCCATACATCAGGCATGTGACACCCCTTTCCCCTGCCAATGCCAGCCTAAGTATGCCTGCGGATGTTTTCTGAGGTGAGTGCAATGAGCTACAATCAGATATAAACTAACTCTGTATCCTGGCAATCAAGAAGCCGAGCTTTCTCAGTGCACCTGGCCCAGCACTCAGGCTTCCCCGAAACTCACAAAACACCTGTGTGCATGATAGAGCAAAGATGGAGAATGACAGGCTATGAGGCATGGGATTTCAGCGAAAGGTTGGAAGCTGCTCTGTGGTGGAGCAGAGTGCCAGAAGTCCGAGATAGACAGTGGCCCGCATGCATTGCAGAATGAACTCACTTTCTTTAAGGAAAAGTCTAAAGATGAAAAAGGAATGACCTTTTTTTGGGAGATCAACTTCTTTAAGAAGACAGGAAAACAATTTCAGGGACTAAAGGATTTCCTTTATGTTTTTGCAAGAAGAGAGAAATGGGTTGTCTGGTCTTTCTGGGAGCTGGGAGCTTTTCTCCTAGTTTTCCAAGCCCTTAGATGCCGTGTGCTTTTCAATTAATCCATCAAATGATCTTAGTTACTAGGTATAGTTATTAGTCCAAGGCACCTCTCTCTTGTTCAGTTGAACTGCATAGCAATTGTAAGTTTCTTGTGAGGCTGCAATAGAGCAGAGGGTTAAAAGTGGGATTTAGAATTACTGCTTGGGTACAAATCCCACTCTGCCACTGTAGCTGTGCGGTCTTGACCTTGGCCTGCAGCCCCTTGACTCCCTGGTGTCATGATTTCCTTGTCTGTAAAATGAGGTGGCATAATGTATGCACATGGCAAGTTTGCCAGGTTTA